GGACAAGCTGGAAACCAGTCTTCCGGCCATCCCACTACACATCAGCATCTCTGGGGGGTTTGGAGAAGATCGAGGCATCCTCTGGTGAGGCACATTCGGCACCCACCCTCCTGCCATCCACCCCGCCACCTGCCCGGGTGGTTGGGGTCCCCGCTGTGCTCCCCCACGTGCGCGGCACCCCCAGGGCTTGCTGCGGTGCTGCCCGGGCACTGCCTGCCTGCAGCGTGGCCCTGTCCTGCCGCCACAGCGTCCACTTTCTGCTGCAGCAAACGGCGGCTTTGGTTTGCTGGTGAGTCAGTCGGCTGCGGTGGACCTCGGGGTGGGCTGGTTGCCCTGCGGCAGAAAGCCCAGGCTCTGTGTACCTTACGGTATCGTTTCAGCTTTCTCCGCGCAGCTCACATGTCTTGTTGGCACGTTCTGCTCACGGCGGCATCTCAGTTTGGTATGAACTCACTCAGGTGCAGTTTTACTTTCCCTTCTCGCTTGATGCTGGGGATGTCCTGGTTGTCCCCCCCAGCTCCTCTTTGGCACTCGCCTCCCGCCTCCTTTTTTGCCAACCTTTGCGTGATATTTTATTATATGTTTTACACTGAAGTGTTGTCCTGTATCACTGATACATCAATGGCTTGAGACTGTTTCTCTGATAGAAAGCCATTTTCCCTTTCTTCCTGCCAGTTTTGGCAAAGGGCCATGCAGCAGTTACTGCATGTGACTTCTCCGCTGCGTTTTTCCCTGGCACTCCCAAATCTTCTTCTGCCCTCGTGCACCTTCTTGCATGGCATTTTTTTCCATTTGCTCTCGCATAAATATCAGTGTGCTGCTTTCCTTGGATGCTCTTGCTCTTGCGAGAAGAGTTCTTGGCTCTTCCCCGCTCCATTTAATGTTCCCCCGTTGCAAATGAGCTCGTTCAGCGGCTCCGCACACGTCAGATTGCACTTTGTAGTCTGTAGTCTGCTCTTTGTGTGTTTTTTGTCCTGTTAATAGTCCGTCCCAAACTGGTGCCCTCAGTGCCCGTTACCAAATGGCACGTGTCCGCTGTGCACCGTGTGGCAAGGCACCGGTCTCTTCTTCCTCTGTAGCCTGCGCTACTCGGCGTGCTGCAGGCTTTGAAGGTTCTCCTGCCACGCACCTGGGACTTGGTGGCGGTCATGCCGTGCACGGCAGAAGGGGAGTCTGAAGGTGCACGGGAAGGAGTGTGCGTGGTTTGGAGGGGTATAGCTGAAAACGGGGGGATACGTCCAGGTGTTTTGAGTGGATGCTTAAGTAAAGGGTTGGAATTGCAGTGCTGGGCATCTGTCTGCTGGCACTTCTGTATTTCTTTCTCGTCGGAGAGATCCTGAGGCACTTTCTAAGCTGTGGAAAAGCTTACTTTGCCTGTGTTAAAATATCCTTTGGAAATGGTTTTAATTTCCTGCCCGTGTCGGAAGGCTTTGTGAAAAATATATGGCAAAACCATAGTAAATCAGTTCAAGTACGAGTATAAATGGGTAAAATTAATTAAATGTTCTATTTTATTGATAGTTGTGTTGTATGAATCTTTGCTGGTTTCAGTCAAGGAATAAGACCGAAAAGGTTTATCCTAATTCTTAGTCCGTACGAAATCTGAGAGCACTGTCAGTCAAAGCTAAATGACATAAACACAACTTGAAGTGGTTTGCCTGTCCCACTTAAACATAAAAAAAATTTGTCTTAATCGTACAAAAATTTGGGTTTTGGTGCAAAATGGCCTGATATTGAAAACCCTTTCTCAAATAAATAAGTGTTCCAAAGCAAATGGGATTTCTGCAGGAATAAGCATTACTGGACAGGGGGAACTTGCAGGACTGGGCGATAAAAGTAGGTTTCTTTTTTCCATCACCTAATAATGAAGAAAAAAACCTGACTGAAATGTATTTATGGTTTAATCATTGTATTTGGGCTGTGACCTATGTGCTTAGAGATTTGATTTCCAAAGGCAGGGCTTTGGGAAGTTATTAAAGTCTGAACATAAATGATACGAGGGTTTTTGTAATTTTAAACTTTTAAAGGATGATTGAATTGATAAACATCATAACTGAATTTACCGGTGACCCCAGTTTTCCCCTTGTCACGTGGGTCACCAGGGGTGCTCAGTGCTCCGCGCACCCATTGTGCTGGTGCTGCCCGGCTCCTGCCTGTGGCTGTTGGTGCCGGCAGCAGCACTGCTCACCGGCTTTCCCTCCCCTCCCTGCGGCCCCCGCCATCCCTGCTGGTACCGGTTCTCATGGAGCTTTTCTACCCAACGCAGGTCGTGAACGACGCCTGGAGCCCGGGACGACGTGAGCGGGCAGTTTATCATGCGAGGATGTGCCCGCGCCCTCGCTGACCTGCCTGCCGTCCCCGTCCCCGCTGCCTGTCCTGGCCAGCGCCATGGGAGGATGCTTCTCCAGGCCCAAACCAGGTGACTGCCCTCCATTGCCGTGTCCCCATCCCGCCGTCCCCATGGGGAGAAGTAGGTCAGCAGCGGAGGCTGGCCGGGGGAATGTTAATTCTCGGCTCCCGCAGGGAGGATTACCGGCCCATTAATCCCCCCAAATTCCTCGGCGCTCTCGCTCCCAGGCAGGGAGCTGTGCGGGGGCTGCAGCGGTGCTGGGGGGCGAGGTGGGGGGAGAGCTCAGCCCGCACCCTGCAACCCCATCAAACACCTGCCGCCAGCCCTTCCCCGTCCAGTCTCCTCGTACCCCGCCGCCCTCCCTGCCTCTGCCTTCCTGCAGCGCCCAGGCTGGGTTTGTGCGATAGTGTCCCCGCAGGGACGTGTGTGGCTCCAGCGCCTGCCTTGCTGCCGTGGCTTTGCCACTCGCTGGCCATCCCAAGTTTTGTCCTTGCTGGAAGGGAACGACCAGGGACGGAGCAGGATTTGCTGGTGCTTTCTCAGTCCCACCACCCAGGCCAGGTCCTGGGGCTGCTCCGCTCTCTGGATTTTATTTTCTTGGGGAAGCTTGTCCATGTGTGCTGCCTCTGGCGGGGAAAGCAGCTGTAGGCACCTGGACATCAAGGATGTTCCCCTTGCCCTGCATGGGGCTGGATGGGCTCCCCGTTCGGCAAAGGTGGGCACACGTAGGAGAGGAAGGGGCTGCGGTGCAGGCTGCGTAGGCAAACTGGCTGCTCGAGGGAGGGCTGGTGTGGAAGTGCCAACGTTAAGCCTTGTCCTGAGCCCCTGCCAGCAGCGTGGGCACGAGCAGGCGCCGTGTGGTCGCCCGGGCTCGTCGTACCCGGCGGCACCTGCATCGCCCCAGCACTGGTCCCCAGGGAGCGATGCTGGTGCAGTCGGCGCTGCCGAAGCCACCTTGGAGGAGAGCTCCCGGGCAAGGGGAGTCGGGTCGCGGCAGTCAGATCAGTCAGCATCCACAGGCAGCCTTTGTGGGTGGAAAAATGTCTTTTGGGGACCTTGTATTGGGAATTTGTCTTCATTGACTCAGGCAGTGGGGGTTTCAGGCTGGACTCGAAAGGTCAGAGGGGCGATAACAAGTCGTGTCTGCAACCCACCGAGCACCCCGCTGAGTGAGGGTCCTCTTTGCAAGGCACAAGGGGAAAATAAAGGTGGTTTTCTGCCCTTGACCTGGACTGTGGTTGTTTTTTGGGTCGTTGCAGTGCCAAGGTAATAGGGCACTGGAGACTGTGAACTGTAAGTTTTCTTTCATGAAAACCCACGCTGTTTATATCCTTCCTTGAAATGTTTAAGGAGCGAAAACGCATCCAGGAACAAATGCTTTTGTTGACTAAACTTCTAACAAACTCTGCTGGCAGTTTCACTTTATTTCGTATACCATCAGCAACATTGTGTTTCACCTTGGAGCGGTGCAGGAATAAAAGCGCTCTGCAGGCATGTTTCCCGAACTGCAGATTTTCATGTAGAGCTGTATTTGCATAGCAGGGCTGAATGACTGAAAATGCCATCCCGTAATGTAAGGCTCTTTCTGCAGCTCTGGTCTGATTAGCAGTCTTCAAAGGCTTTTGACAAGCCTTTCCCCAGCCCCTGGTTAGCACCCCGCTGACTGCGGTGCTTCATCTCGGTGGTTAGAAAACCTGCCAACACGGTGAGGTAAACAGATGCATTTGCAGATACCACTTGTTCTGGCAAAGAGGCTTCACAGCCTTTTAATGACATTCGTCGTTCCCATTCCTTGTGGGAACTGTGCACCATCAGAGCTGAGTAGTGGACTTTCCTGTTTCTAAAAATCTACCTCTGCCCTGTACGAATGAGAAGCAAATCATGCAGGGACAGAACAGAGCTGTTTTCTCCATCAGTGCTGTTTTGACATGAAGGGAGTATTTCAGATGCAGCCTGAAGTCAACAGAATTTATTTAGACACTCGTGAAAGATGTATATGAGGTCCTTACCTGCTCCATCTTTTGGTATCTGAGAGAGACCCTCAGTCCCGCTGAGCAGCCTCAGCATTTCTTGAGATAACCTTAACGTTGCACATGCCTTGCTGTGTGCCAGGAAGACCTTTGGATGAGCAGATCACGGGTACAAGTGTTTTGGGGAGTGGAGTCCTGCAACAGTAAAGAACCGTGCTGACAGTACCGGAGGCCAGCCCTGAAGTCTGCTGCTGCCGCAGCGCCCGACCCCATCCTGAGATTTAAGTGTTTAATTAAAACCTTATATTCAAGCAGCAATGTAATCTGTTATCTCTAGTGCTGCAGTCCCGTGATGCCGGATCCTCTTCTGAAGGCCCAGTTCTCAATCTCTGCATAAATTTTTTTTTTTTTCCTGTTTTTTTTCTCCGGGTGCATGATGCATACACGATGAGCTGCCAGCTGGCAGTCTGCGTGGGATCCCAGCACCTGCTCCAGGGGAGGCAGCCAGGTCAGGATGCCGGGGAAAGGGAACCATCGTGCGCCAGCGACTGCTTGGTGTGAGCTGCAGCAGCACCATCTCCGCACCAGGCGTGGGAGAGCGGCTTACAAAACCTGTAAAGTTGTGATCATTTTCCTTTGCACTCTCTGCTGGGCTCAGCACTTGATGGTGGGGCAGGGCAGCAGCTCTGGCACAGCACGGCGTGTCTGCGGGTGGGCTTGGCCCTTGCGCGGAGGATGTATTTCTGAGTGGGGAACATGTCCCCTTCGCAGGGATGTTGCACGCTGCTGGAGAGGCTGCCGTGGGCTGTGCATCCTTCAGAGCTCGGCTCTGAGGGTGCCCCCAGGCTTGGCTGGCAAGTCCTACCTCCTGGTTTTTGGGAGTGTAGCATTCGCTGATCAGGGCGTCTGGAGAGGGAGGGTAGAGCCGGGTACGTTTGACATGACGGCTTAGGTCTGCCGTTTTTAATAGAAATGGTTTGGAGTCTCTTTGAGGCCACCTAAAGTAGTTGTCATCGAGGTGTGCAGTTAAGAGGGGGCGCGGGCAAGCCCGGGGGATGCCCGGAATGCGCAGTGCTGGCAGGGCAGAATGAGACCCCAAACGTGTCCCATGGTGGATTTACTCTGTGCTGGCTGCGGGAAAATAACCCCTCCCGGGGTAACCTGGTCTTTCTGGCCATGCCCACTGGACCCTGCTGGTCCCTCCATCATCGTCACCCGTGATGCTTTTCTGGTTTCCGGTGCCATCGGCGCCGTACGGCCGGTACGAGGCTGTTCCCTGCCCTCCCTGCTCGTTTCCCTGCACCGCAGCCCCGCAGCAGCAAACCCAGAGGCGTCGCAGGGTTTTGTGCTGGGGAGGGCAGACACGCAGCTCTCCCCTCTGCCTCCCCAGCTCCTCCATCTCCTCGGCCAGGCATCTCCGTCTTACCCAGGCTGCCCCGGATTCAAGCCAACTCTTGGCTCATGCCAGCTCTCTCTTCCCCCGCATTACTGTATTAGCTTACTATTTTCCTTGTTTCTACCCTTTTAAGTATGATACTTCAAACAGTCTGATGCCCGTAGTTTAAATTTAGCCTCTAGAAGGGCACTGAGCCACTCTGGGAACCTAATCCTGTGGTAAAGAAGTCTTGGGTCATTTCATTGCTCTAATTTTGTAAAATAATGAGCGTGGCCCCGCACCGCAGCCCAGCCGCCCTCCCCCTGCCAGCACCCTCCCAGGGATCGATGCCGATGAGTCCAGCCTCGCGTCTCGGGCACCTGCCTAAAAGCAGGCAGAGGCTTGGGCTTGTCCCACAAGGCTGTGAATAGTGATGGGGAAGGAGTACATTTACGGGAGATGTGATGGGGTATTAATGACTGACTGCCAGGTGTTAATGAAAGCACAAGAGCATCGTGGCCACAGTGTGGGGAAAAAACCCACAACTGAGCCAACCGTGATAAAGGAGCTGGGACGCAGTTCCTGGGGCTGCGCACAGGGCTGTAAAGGCTGAAAACCTGGGAGAGGAAAAAAAAAAAGAAAGGTCAAAATTTACAGTCTTGACGAGAGTCTGTATTTTAAGCAATTCTATGATTTTTGGGGAGCTGACTCAGGATTTTTGAATACTGAGCGCTGGCAGTGCTGAGGTGTATATGGATGTGTATTAACCCCTGCTAATGCTCAGCTAATCTGCTTTTTTGTATGTTCTTATAAAATACTTCAGCCCTGGCCTGCTGCCATTGACCTTCATATACATACATGGGTATATATACACATATGTACAGATAAAAAATACATATATATTAAAAATATGCGTGAACACACAAACCCATATACATACATACATATATATATGTGTGTATATAAGTGGTGCTGGTGGCACAGGGTAAGCAGCAATATCTATATATCTAGCTGCATACATCTGCCCTGGAAGCTATAGCTGCCGCCCTTGTTCCCTCTGGCCGGGGCAGTGCTGCTGCATGTCGGTGGTGGCCTTGGCCGGTCCCCGAGGAGTCGGCCACTGCACAGATTTGTAGGCACATGCCTAAACCTCTCCAAACAATTTTCTTTAAGGTCAGGAACCTCTTCTAGCAGTTGTAGAAAAAGACTGTCAAATGGATGGAGCGTGCTGGACCCAGCCACGCCGTGCCAATCGGATTTCAGAATTAAACCTGCGTTTATAAATATTTCATTTAAATGTCATTTTCCCTGATGGTGATTGAAGCAGTTTGCTGTATCAGCGCAGGTGCTGCTGAGCCCTGGATTCCTGGAGGGATCATCCCTCGGGAATGCGAGTCTCTGGCCAGAGGGACACCCCACAGGGGGCTGGGGGGGGGATGAGGAGGAGGAAGAGGAGGAGGAGGAAGGGGGAATATAAGGTTGGGGAGAGCTGAGTGGGAGTTGCCCCTCACGGAGGCAAGTGCTGAAGTGTGGAGCCTGAAATAGGAGGGGGGAAAGAGATTATACCTCTTCTTGTTTTCCTTGGGACATTTGTCCAGCAGTGAGTGCTGAGTGGTGACGGCTGGGAACGCTGTCACCTCCCGGTGCCAGAGACCTGCTGTACTTTGCGTATGTTTTCTGACCAATAAAGAAGCGAAGAGCTCAGGGCTATGTTTCCATCTTCACCCACTCATCCCACCCGAGTGTAGTTTGGAAAACAACCCATTGGGGCATGGGGCCAGTGGGAGGTGGGGTGGTTGTTCTCCGGAGCCTGAATTAACCGGCACCCCTCCTTGGGGCCTCGAAGCCGCCAGCTGCACCGCTGCCAGCCTGGTCTCATCCTGCGCCGTGGTCGGCAGCAGCAGCACGCTGCCCGGCTCTGGCATCTGGCCGCAAGGATGCGCAGCCGCGTTCGCTCCAGATAAATGACTGATGGACTGTCTAATTGTATGAAATGATCCTCCTGTTTCTTTGCCTGATAGGATTTTCCAGGGACTGACATAAACGGATGTCCGTTATATTTCCTAATTCTGTTCTGGAAAATCTGTGTCTGCTTTTCCAAGTGCCATCGGAAAATGGTGCTTATGGAAAGCAGCTTCTTTGCTGGGTGCCTGCGGGGAGCTGAGCTGCTTCTGTAGAGCTCCAGGAACAAATTTGCTCATAGCAACATTATTTTTTATTTTTTTTTAATGCACAGTGCTGTGCCTATTAATTTACAGTGGCTCCTGCAACTGGCAGCGGCCATACTGCGACAGAAGTTCACATTTTCTGTTGGTTCAGCATGGGCACACAGAAAATGGCATTACTAGATCTGTCAGTCTGAGCTCCCGGTGAATCCTGCCCCTGGTGAGTGCGAGGATTTGGCACTTTGGCGAAAAGCCACCCCATCCCCTGCCCTGCTGGGCTGGCACAAAAAGCAAAAACTCGCAGGTCTCTTGACACAGCCGCTTGCTTCTAGTGCCCGGACGGCCATGGCCACTTGATTTTCTCCCATCCTAAGTGAACGACCTTCCCCCGACCTTTTCTTCCGCCGTCCTCTCGATGGACTTGCAATAAATGGTGTGGGACAACAGACAAAGCTGGGAAAGCTTTAATTTTTATCTTCTGCACAACTTTTCCTGTCCATGACATTTATTGGTTGGGGAAAGCTCAGCAATCTCCTGTTTGCTTGAGACACTTCTTCAGTCTGTGGCACTCACCTCCCTGGCTCGCTGTAGAACTCCCCTGGGGTTTATTGTAAATATTAATGACTGTAGTTTTCTGAAGTCGTGCCACGGAGCATCCACCACTTCCCTGTGACAGCACCCAGGGTGGCAGTGGGGCCGAGGGGACCCTCCGATGGTCGGGGGGATGCGCTGGGTGTCTCTGGGTCCCCTGGTCCCCAGGCCAGGGGTGCTTTGATCGTCAAACCCGTTCGGCAGTGCACAGCTAAGTAAAACGGACAATCCTTGCTTTTCCCACTTAATACTGAAGATTCACTCTACGCTGAAAATCTTATGCAGAAATGATTTTGGATATTTCTAGTTCCTTATTAATTGGTCTCCACCTAATGAAGCAGATTTATACACCATGCGGTGTTGGCTTTCTCTTTCAGTTAATGTCATCTACAAACCGTTAAAGGGTTTTTTGAAGCCTGTCTGAGCCCCAGAGGTCTTGGCATGGCTCACATTTAGCTGCTCGAAGCTGTTTTCCACCAAACAGGACAGGAATTGTGACCGAGGGGTTTTGCACTGATGACTAATGCCTGCTTGCAAGAATATGTACTTTATGCATGCAAAGGATGGAGAAAGAACAGTGGAATAATGGGCTCAGGTAATCAAGCCGAGTTTGATATTGAATGTTTTATTTTCCCAAGCAAGCCAACAGAAATGTCTGTTCTGATGACATCTGTCAGCCCCTTTCAAAGTCCAGGGAAGGAGGGAGAGGCAGAATGGCAGCAAAACCTCCGGCTTCATTTTAATGGAGATTTCTGTTTGTTCCTGCAGTTGAAGTGAAAATTGAAGTTGTGATACCGGAGAAGGAGAGAAGCAAGGAGGACATGTCACCCAACGGGAAAGCCAGCCCCTTGATCTACAAAGTCAACGGGACTGCCCGGCGTTATCACCTCGAGGAGCATCCCATTGCCAGCAATCCCTACCACAACCCAAAGGATGTGGTGGAAGCATCCGTGTGCCACGTGAAGGACCTGGAGAATGGACAGTAAGTGCCTAAAATCTTTGCAGGTAAAACTTGTGACACCTTATACCCCAAACTGGAGCCCCTACCCTGCTCTTTACATTTTCTGGAGATGATAATTTAACTTGGTAAATTAATGTTTTTCTCATCTTAAAAAACCAGTATCATGGACAAGTGACAACTGTTTCTTACCAGAAGGTCTGCTGTTCCCTGAAGGGTCCTCCCTGGGACTTGTCTTAGAAAGATGTTCTGCAGCAGAACTTCTGCTCAGCTTGTGCTAGACAACCCTGACAATTTTTCATAAGTTTACAGCCTCAGTAGTTTTACAAAGCAGCCTGAGTAGCACATGGGTGGAGCTGATGGGGCAGATGGTGTGCTCCACTGCTTCTGCAGTGCCTTGCTCTTCTAGCCAAGCTCATCTCTTTCAATTTGCTCTTTCACCAAGGATGATGCCATTTTCCAAATTTTTTGCTCATGGCAGCACACTTCAGCTGCGTACAGTTTCACTACTCTGGTTTAAGAGTTTTCTGAAGTCTAAAAGGTGTCTCTCCCAGTCACTGTGCTTTACCGGCTGGTGTTTCTTTTCTGGGGTAGAGATGCCTTTTCTGCAGCATGTTCCGTTAGCCTGATGGGCAACATCCCAGCATGCTCTGTCCTTGTGTGAGAGAAAACATGGTTCAAAATAGTTTTTATTCCAGTGAGGGGGTGTTGTCAGGTGTGTGGGACACAGTGGGAGTCTGGCAGCTGTTTGCTTTAAGTTGAACAATTGCTTGTGATAATATTCTGCAATAATCCGTGTAATACAAGCTGCTTTGTGCTAAGCTTAAGGGGCTTCCTGGACTATAAATTCTTCTTGTTAGGTAAGTTCATTTAGGAATAAATGGGTATTTTTTCATTGTGGTGGGAATTTACGTATTAGACCACTCTACAAAGGGATGCACTGGACTCTGTTGGATTAAATCTTCACATGACAAGGTGTGGCTGACTCTGCAAGCTTTGCTGCAGCTCAGAGAGGTGCTGGATGGCCATCAGGACCTGGAGGTGAATGGCCTCCTCCGGTGAGCAGCGGGGTGAGGTGTCGGTAGAGATGCACTGGACAAGACAAGCACAGCGGGTGCGGGGCTGCTTCTGGGAAGTGATGGGCAACCCTCTGCCTCCTGCACAGGCGAGCGGTGACAGCAGGGCTGGGGAAGAGGGGACCTGGGACAGAGCACAGGCGGTGACTGGGATCGCCTCCGAGCTGGAGCAAAGCGAAAAGGGGAGGTTATCCGGGGAAATACTGGTTGCAGAGGGAGGGTCCTGTTTCAGTGTCAGGACGTTGAACACCAAACGTTCATGAGGCAGCTTCTGCTGACTTCGTGTGTAGGGTGTTACTAAGAGCGCGCTCTGCTTCAGTGCCCCAGTGCAAGAAAGATGTCGGAAGATCAGGGCTGCAATAGATAGTGACCGGGAAGCACGCGGTAGTCGATGAAAGGATTCAAGGAGCTCTGCCGGCTGCGGGGAAGGTGCCGAGGAGGCTGGCGGCAGTCCGTGGGAACACGCCTGGCTGCAGGCGGCCGAAGCAGGGAGCTCCTTGGCTAAAATCAGGGCTAGAAACTGGCATCGGTCTGGAAACCGGGCTCACGCTTCCACCGTGTTTGCATTCAGCTACTGAAACATGCTACCGAGGGTGCCGGTGTACTTGCCATCGCTGCGCATTTTAAGTTGAGAATAGCTTTTTTCCTAGCAGACGGAGTCTAGCTCAAAGAGGGGTGCTGCAAGAAGGTCCCACAGCTCGTGTGAGCAATGGGACAGACCAGAGGAGTCCCTTCTGGGGATTTTCTGGGACGGTTGTTTCGAGCGCTGTGCTGGGCAGGGATGTGTATGGGCACGGCAGGATGGGTTTGGGCACCTCTGCGTTGTGCTGGTGGAGTCTGTGAGCACAAGGTTCTATTTCTGCCCACCCTTTCTACCTTTCTGGCACCAAGATGGTCTCAGCAGAACCAGTAAAAGATACCGGAGGATAAACTCTGGCACTGCTGTACCCAGCAGCCTCCCAGCAGGCTAACTGAGGGATGTCAGTGAGCTGCAGGCAGAAAACAGCCCCCAGCACTCCCGTAGCTCCTGAGCAAAGGTCCTTTGCAGGCCAGAGCTGAGTTTTAGCTGGTGCTTCCCAAGCCGGGAGTGGAGTGGGGCAACAGGGCAAATTCCCAACTGAGTAAATAGTTCAGCGAGGAACAGCACGGCATAAATCATTCTCTTGGTCGCTTTGGAGTGAGTGTGGGATTAGGAGCCTTGCAGGTGGCTGTGTGCTGCCTTGAAGACACCAGGTCTTGTTTTTAACTCTCTCAGATCACACAGTTCCTTGGGTAAGTTGTAAACTCTTTCACTTATCTTATCTTATCTTCCCATAGAGTTATGGTTGTCATTTAACAAGAAACTCAGGTTTTATCTGAAGTACTGCACAGCTGAGGAATGCAGTAGGACTTGTACTGCTCTATTCCCCTTGTGCTGACGGAAGGACCTCCAAGTGCCAAGTGTCCTACAAGGGGAGGGAGCGGAGCTGCATCGCTCGGGAGCAGGGCTGCCAGTTTACTGGGACAAAACAGCTCCCAAGGGCAGGCGTGATGAGCTCGGCTGCTGTTTTCACCTGAAGTAGCAAGGAAATTAAGCATTTGCCATTGCTCTGGTGGGACAGTTGATGCAGGTGGAGCAGGCACCTGCAGGAAGACTTCTCTGAGGAGGGTTTGAAGGTGTTACAGATGTGCTGGTGGACTGAGCCATGGTCTCATCTCCATGGCTATGAAGCAGAGTTGGGACAAGTGTCCCTGTAGCCTGAGTGCAAGTGATGGGATAGAGTTGGGATGTTACCCAAAGAGGAATGAGCGTGCAAAGTAAGTCCTATTCATCTGAGACCCAGGGACACATTGTGCATGGACAGCATTCATGGATCGCACACGGCCAGTAGCTTTCCTGAGCATGTGGGGTTTGCTGAGTGCACACCGGTGGTCTATATGGAACACGAAATGCAACCCGAATGTGCCAGGCTTGCTGTAGAGATGGTCCACCTGAGTGCACACCGGTGGTCTATATGGAACACCAAATGCCACCCGAATGTGCCAGGCTCATGCAATGGGAACGACCAGGATTTCCAGGTAAACATCAAGTTGTGCGGGGACAGGCTTTCTGGCTGGAAGAGAGGACGTATCCAGGGAACAACAGGACTGCACTAGCTCTGTGCCCAGCTCCCTGCAAAGCGAGGGCTCACTCCTCATCTCTCCACTTTCCTCCACGGTTAGCTGGAAGGCTCTGCTGTAGGGAAGCAGCTGCTGATAATCGCATTGGGAAGAGGTTCAGTGCCTCACACAGGGCCATGGATTGCACAGGACTGTTGGTTGGAAAGGGAGCACCTGAGTGGTGGGAAGAGAAAAGGAAGTGACGACAGGACATATTGGGATGAAGATCTGTCAGAGGTGTAGTGAGAGAGCAGAGAGCGACAGGCAGACAACAGTGCAGGGCAACATCAGTCTCACTCAGCGATGCTTGGGCAGCCTGCGCTGCCCCTGTGGCTGGAAAGTTGCAAAAATCCCCTTGGCAAAGATCTGGGCAGGTGGAGGAATGGGGGGGTCTCAGCTTGGAGCCTCCTGCATCCCAAGCTCCAGACTCTATGGAGAGGAGCAATCGGCAGCCTCCTGGAAATGATCTGCTGGTGTGGTCGAAGGACTCGCATTTCAGTGGACAGTGCGACTGCCCAGTGCAAAGGTTAGGAGCTGTTTAGATACGAGGGATTCTTCTCTCTTTACATTTTTAATCACAGCTGCCTAAATGCAGCTCAGTTCTGTATATGGTCTGCAGGGCCTGGAAATTCTTGCAAATAAAAGCAATTTGCAGCTGCTTTGCAAAACCTGTGCCCAGCCAGCCTGCAGCAAGCGGAGCACCACGGGAGGCATGGCGTTCCCGGGGAGACCTGGGCAGCCAGCTGCTGTGGGCCAACGCACCCGCTGTTTGGGGATGCTGCACCCACGCTGCAGCCGGTGCAGAGGTGGGGATCGCTCAGCACAGCCCTGCTGAGACGGAGGGCTGCAGATCAGCTCTCTCAGGCAAGCCAAGGGAGCTAGAAAGGATTTTCTAAAATGCTGCTTTCCAGCACTAATAGCATCATTAATCACTCATTCAGCAGATGGGGATGCTCTCTCTGTCTTTGCAGATGAGGTGCATGATCGGCAAAGAGATGCTTTTGGCCAGGACGGGGTGGCTGGAGCCTCAGCCTGGCTTGGCTGGTCAAGGACCAGGTGGCTGCAGCTGGGGAGGTGCCACCCAGAGAGCCTAAAAATTGCAGAGCTTTGTGTGAAAAGGATCCTTGCTGTGCTAATCATGCTTTTGTCCAGGGTACCACACCAGAAATGTCGTCTGTCAAAGAGCACCTTAATCTCTCCAGGGGAATGGCTTGAGGGTTACCTTGGCTCCTACGCAAACGCGGGGCTGAGGGCCAGCAGCACCAGGGAGGCAAAGCCCCCCCGTGCCGCAGAGCCGTGGCCAGCGGCCCAGGGCAGGCGGGCAGGTCGCTGTGTGAGCTTTACTCTGCCAAAACAGCTGAGGGGAATGGCAAGGAGGTCACTCAGAGGTGTCTGTGGTCCCAAGGGTTTTATCAGGAAAAGGTGACCTGTGTTGTTGACCCTGGGATGTGGCTGGGACCAGAGCACAACCCGCTGAGGTGCAGAGAGGCAGACCCCAAGGTCGGAGCATGCGAAGGGTCAGAATGGCCTCTGCTGGTTTTCAAGCCTCAGAAATGTTGTGTTTGCTTTAAGTGAACACAACAAGCCTGGCAGGGACCTGCAGAGCTGCTGGGGCCAGGAGGGGAGGTGATGTCGCAGTAAAGCCAGTTTGGTTTCTTGCTCCCTCTACATGCTGCAAAGCTTTATTCTGCCCCCCTGGACTTGGGTGGGGACCACCAGCCACTTCCTGAGCAACTGGGGACGTGCTTTGGGCCACCTCTTGGCACAGCGATGGATGAAGAAGCTGCTGCTCCATGGCCCAGCTTGGATGTGCCCCAGACTGGGAGCAGCGCAGCCGGCTCGGTGGCAGGGTTGACCCACACCTCTCAGTCACCTGGCGCCGGTGCTGAGCAAGACAAAGGAAGGTGCTGGGGTGGGGGAGAAGCCTGGCGGGACCGGGGCTGGTCCGCTGCCGGGCGGATGCTCTGCCATATGTTTTCCATGCTCCTCCTCCGCAGGATGCGGGAAGTGGACCTGGGCTGCGGGAAGGCTCTGCTCATCAAGGAGAGCGGCGAGTTCCACGCCGTGGGACACAAGTGCCCCCACTACGGGGCTCCACTGGTCAAAGGTCAGTCTGCCTCGCGTCCTAGGAGACCAACCGGGGGCATCAGTGATGGCAAAAGGTGGCATTCATCCGCCTGCGCTGCCGGGCATCACAGCACAGATCGGCATCATCCCGGCATCTTCTCGCTGGGGGAAGGCATGGGCAGAGAGCCGGGGGGCACAAACCTCCTGGAAGCACTTCGCTGCAGCTCTGGTTTGCTGGTGACCCCAGCTTGCCACAGCTGGACACAGGGCTGGGGCTTCTTTGGGTGACTCTGAAGAACAAAATGGCATGAGCACCATTACATTTGGCTTCTGCTCCATTCTCCAGCTGGAGCTAAACCTCTCTTGGATGGTATGAAACAGCTGCTGCTCACTGTCCCCACGCAAAGCCTGGTTTTATGGGGCCTTTCATATTGTTCTGTTTACTGGTTCCCAGCCACTGAGGAGTTAAAAAAATGTCTTAAAGGGAAAAAAAAAACACCTTATGATTTTCAGGCCATTCAGTCTTAAAAAACCCCACAAAACCACAGCTCCCTGTAAATAAAAATCCTGTTTGTGGGGGAAGGAGGAAGCTCTTTGGGCTGATGGGATCCTTTCAGTAGCAAAAAGAAATGTTGCTTGTGTTAGTGGTTGAAGTGGGATGAGGTACAGTGGTTTCCCACCTTGGCACTGAAAAATATGCACCCTGGCATTTTCTCAGCTCGGGCTTCGGGCAGGTCCCTGCCCAGACTCTGAGTTATGCAGTGCTGGCGCGGCTGCGTGCTGGAGAAGTGTCTCACCCAAACGGGGGCTGGGGGGCACTTTGGTGGAGGTGGGATCCTGGGGACGAGAGCAGAGCACCCTGCTGAGCACCCTCTGGCCATTGCTGGCCCGCAGCAGTGGTGGGCGCAGGCAGCCATGCTCTCAGCCCCTTGCCTGGGGCTAGCAGACCGCTTTGCGGGGCAGGAGAGCCCCATGCTGCTCTGGTGGCCAACCCAACAGAGGTGAGAGCCCGCCTGCCTTTCAGAGACCTGCCGGCGCATCCCTGAGACTGGGAACACAGGATTTGCTGTGGAAGTGGTGGGTGGGTGACAAGCTGTGGCACTGTCGTGCCTCGACAAGTAAAGGCACGAGCTCAGGACCAGTCTGGTGGGGCCAAATTGTAGCCGTTCACTTTGCCCCGGCATAGTGAGCCAGCTCTTTCAGGCAGGGAAAGCCAAAGTCCAAGGTAGCAGCCTCTGAGCAAACACTTGCAAGGAGTGAAGTCGTGTCTTTGGGCACGCCCCGTGCTGTGCAGGTGGTGTACAGACCCCTTGCTGCATCCAGACCTGTTCTGAACCACGCTTGCTCTAAATAAGTGATGCTCTGCCTGAGGCGCTGCCTGCTCCGGGTGCTGCCGGGGCTTGTGGAGGTGACTGCCAGACCCTGGAGGGTGCAGCCTCAGGCCCTGCTGGAGAGCGAGGTGATATTCCAGGCAGAGCAGACAGCTTTGGAGCTGTGCTTAGAGGCGCTGGAAGGGCACTGTCAGCAAGGGTGTTTTAGATGGGATCCCTCGTACAGGATCCCAGTTGGTAACTGTCTTCAGCCTCTACCGCAAACGGCTGGACCAGCCCCACGTGCAAGTTAAGAGAACTCCACATCAAATAGCCAAGATGCTGTTGACTGTCCAGGTCCACAACATCTGCCATGTGTCCTGTAGGAGAGGTGACACCTCTGGGTAAAGGAGTGTCACGGGGACTTGCTCACAGAGTCTGAACATTGAAGCTGCTCTGCGTGGAGCAGCACAGCTCCCGCCGCTGCAGGAGGCCCTGGGCAGCAACCTTCATCCTTCAGGAGGTCAGCCTCGCTCAGCAGTGGCGTTCACGTTGTGAAGAAGCTGAGGAGTCCACCATCTCCAGGACAGCAGGAGGGAGACCTGGCCTCTGCCATCACTGCCCTGGCCAGGTCACAGCAGCTCAATCTCGGCAGGCTGCAGGCAGGGACGGGAGGCAGCTGCAGGGCAGCACCAACTCTGCTCTGCCATGTTTCCTGCAGGAGTTTTGTCCAAAGGAAGAGTCCGCTGTCCCTGGCATGGAGCTTGCTTCAACATCAGCACAGGTGACATAGAGGACTTTCCTGGCTTGGACAGCTTACCCAGGTTCCAGGTGAGACCTTCGCTCTTGCAGCAGCACAGGAAATCACAGAATCCCAGAATGGTTTGGGTGGGAAGGGACCTCAAAGGCCATCCGGTCCCACCCCTGCCGCGGGCAGGGATGCCCTCCACCAGACCAGGTTGCCCAAAGCCCCATCCAGCCTGGCCTTGAACACTGCCAGGGGTCCAGGGGCAGCCACAGCTTCTCTGGGCAACCTGTGCCAGGGCCTCAGCACCCTCACAGGGAAGGATTTCTGCCTC